ATCCACATGGCTGACACTGACAAAGGTTCTACAAAGTGCAGTACAGGGTTACAGGATAAATCCTGAGGGGACCTGACTGACCTTATCATATTCAAAAGTTACATTTCTTGTTATATAGGTCTTTTTTTAAAAAACTTTATTTATTTGTTTATTTTGTGTGTGGCCAGCTCAGCCCACCAGGGGGCGGGGCTGGCTGGCATGTGGTGCTGGGGATTGAACCGCGGTCCCTGTGGTTTGCTTAGCTTAGCTTGTTCTAAGTAGGTGCTTTAGACCACTGAGCCATCTCACCAGCCCCTATAGGTCTTGCTTTATCTTGGTCTTAACTATCCAGCAGAAAAGTATAAAAACATATAAAAAGTAAAGGCATATTAATATGCCGATCTGTAAAAGTCTCTAGTCAACAACTTCCATGGATAACCCACTACTATTGTGGACTGCGGGACTGTGTTGGATTGTTTTGCTGAATTCAAGCACCTATAATATTTAGATGCCAGTAGAATTTCCATCTCTGAAAGGATCAAACAGAAAAAGGGGATACAAAGAAGGACAATTTTGTATTTGTATATATATGGTTTAGTTAGGATAGATATACAGCTACTTTCACTTAATTCAATGAGAATAAAGATTTGTAGTAATAGTATTTGGACAGGATATCCTGCCTGTTTCTTGTACTATGGATAACCACTAAGAAGATAACAATATACCATGTATTAATTCTTGAAAATGTCCTATTAATCAGCTTTGAAACTGTCTCATTGATATTTGTTTCTCAATAAAATAAGATAAAGCATAAAAACATCAAAAAAAGAAAAAGATGTAATTTCTGTGGTCATTACAATATGTAGCTTAACATCTCCACTTCTCAAAGTAAAATTCTTATGTACATATATCTGTTACATCTTATTAATTAAATGACTTCTTGGTTTTAATGTGGTGTTTTCATATATGCAGATAATATCAATGATCATACGCACACTACATTGCTCTACCATATCACTTACTCAACTACACATATTTCTTTTCCTTGAATAATAATAGTCTCTCTATGTGACTGCTCATCATGATAGGCCAATTTTCATGGATGGAGAAATGCCTAGTATGCTTGTTGATTTGTTTGGGTGAGTCACAGAGGCATGACCTTGGATATGCCATATACATAATGGCAAACCACCTAGAGATTTGAAAGATAGCAAGCAGCCGTCTCCTGCGTACATTCCATTGGCTCTCCATCACTGCCTATGATCCCTCACTTGGGCCTCTATGGCACTGGTCCTCTGCTCTGCTTCACAACCTGCATGAACTCTGTAGCTTTGCTCTTTTCCACCCTCCACCATGGCATCTGACCATAAGCCAAATTGCCCAAATCTATGGGCCAAATTAAGCTCCTCCCACAGCAATGCAAATACTAACTAATTCAGAAAATGGGGAGCAGATAGGTGAGGCAGTTGCTGTGATGGACTTGAATGTGTGGTGAAGAAGCCTGTGAAACCGATTTATGTGAGGAGTTTGAAAAGATTGGGAAAGTCAGGCAATAAAAGCTCAAGGCTACTGAAAACAGAGCTTAATGGGTAATTATAGTTGGAGACCAGATTATCAGGATGCTCTAGAAATACAATGGGACATGCCAGCCTCAGGAGGTTTCCACTGGAAATAAGAACTCCACTGTCATTTGGACTCAAATTCATGTGTATTACACTGTGAGGTATACAATTTGTCCACATTTTGCTCATGCCCTAAATACTTGCAGAAGAATGCCAAGTTCCTTTAATGGGATTAAGGAGGTGGACTCACTGATCTGGAGGAAGAAATTTCAACAGAGCCCAGTATTCATGCTGCGGCATGAGTACTGTTGGCCCCTTTTAGACAGATTTGTAGTGAGAACCAGGAACCAAAGCAGAACAGAAAAAATTAAGAAACTTAAACTGTGGCCCAGAGGAACCATATATAAAAGTGAGCTGAAAAGAGTCACTGTGGGCAGGGGAGACAGCTCAATGGCATAAGGCCCTGCCTGGCAAGCACAAGGTCCTGAGTTCAATCCCTGGTACTGAGAAAAAAGAATGCAGGCCTTCTCCAATCATTGGAGAATAGAATTCCTGATGCCTCACTGGGAAGTCCCTGCTAGATGTTCAACCCTAATAACACTCAGAGGCTGCTGCAGGCATGACCCAGTAAGGCCTGGGTACTGTTTCTGCAGAGACCACAGCATGCTATCATCTATGTGATGGTAGCTTTACAGACATGCAGAATGCTGCAGCCCAAGCATCAATAATTCTTCTACCTACACACTTTACCACCCTGTGCACCAAAATGCTGGACATAGAGCTAATGTTTGCCCCCATGGTGTGGGGGGTCTTGGTTTTTTCTGCTTCTTTTATAGCTCCCTGGTTTTTTTTTTTGAATGGAAATATTTAGCTTTTGTCATGTCACATGGAGAATAGGTTGCTTTTTAAACAGATGTCCACATTTGAGGGCTTGCCTACCGTCTCAGAAGGGATTTGGATATCTGAAAACCACTGTAATTCTTGTGCTCTGGATAACTATATAATGTTACATAGAACTATGAACTAGTTATTATCTTTATTGGGAAACTGAGCATGGATCAAAATGTGCCTGGGAGTCAAGCTGACAAGGGAGCATTATGATGCCTAATCTGAGATGCTCCCTTCATTTCATGAACAAGCCCCTTGCGTATTAGTACAGCCCCTCTCGGGTGTGACTGGATGGGTCTCATGTCACAACCTTGGGTAACAGAGAGGGTCCTATTTTTGTTCCTCTGTGGTACTGTTCCTTTCCTCCTCCTCCTCCTCCTCCTCCTCCTGCTTGTCATGAACTAAGCAGCTCTGCGCCCCTGTGCCCTTCTGCCATGAGCTCTCCTGCCTCAGAGTCACCTGACCATGTGTGGAATTAGCCTGCCAGCTCGAGCTAAAGTAAACCCTCCCTCCTTGAAGTGCTGAGCAGCACCTGCTGTGTCTCAGGGATGAAAAAGCCAACTGAACACCCTTCTAGTTTTTGGGGTTTTTTTTTTTTTTCATTTTAAATGATCTTTGCATTTTTGTTAGAATTTTTAAAAAGCTAGATAATCACTCATACTTTATGCCAGCTAGTAGAATGTAAAAAACTCTCTAAGAAAAAAAAAGTCACCTTTTTACTCCAAAGAAAATAAAAACAGTAAAAGTATTTAAAATGTTACAGAATTTCAAAACATGAAGATAAGAAATCAACAATGATTGCTATATTGTATATGGTTGTCTACAAAGTAGCTCTTCAGATTACCATTTATAAGCATGAAAACTTTGCAAAAAATAAATGAATGAGCATTAACTGTTTCTTTCAGTAAACCAACAGCAATCAGTAATATATAGATATATAGATATATAGATATATACGTTCTTCTGTCTTTTCTCCTTTCCCTCATTCCAGTTGTTCTTTCCTTTGGTGTATTATTTTTCTTTTCATAATGTCAATTGTATTTTTGGATATTGTATATTCTTTCAGTTTTTTGTACTAGGGATGCAATACGTTTCCACATGCAGATCTCATTTATTTCGCTTATTTATATGATCTCCAGGTGTATCCATTTGTCTATAACAGCCTCAAGTATGTCTTTCTTTATAGCTGAGTAGTGCCCCATTGTATAAGAACACTGCGTCTTTTACATCCATTCCTCAGGTGATGCACATTTGGATTATTTCCAAGATGCAGCACAAGTGGTGCTGCTATAAACGTGAATGCACACATACCACTCTGGCAGGATGCTTTCAACTATTCCGGAAAAACACTCCTGATTCTAACATTGAAATCCTCAACCCACAGTTCCATAAAGAACCCTAAAAAGAAATCTTGTGGAAAAAATGAATGCGGTGAGCTTACAATCCACAGGTGAGACATTTCTATACTGGCACAGGTAGATTATCAGAGAATGTATGCACAGTTGTGGACTTGATACTTGTGAAAGACAGCAATTGCAAACTTTTTATTCTTCGATGCTTCCTTCACTTTATCAAATACTAAAGCAAAAAAAAAAAAAATGCTCTAAAGAGCACAAGACAAACACAAAACAGTTTATGTGAGAGAAGCTTGAAATTGTTCATTAGTTTAAATGGACAGAATATAAAAATATTTTCATAGGACAATCATTTATTAACAAAGAAACAGGATTTTATGTCACTTTCATGTATGCTAAACATATCAAAACACTCCTAGGGCTGAGAATCAATGTTAATCATAGAGTGTATTGTATCACAAAAACTGAATTCAGATTATACTTAGGTGAATGGTATAGATGTGATGCAATTTCTGATCTCCAAACTTTGGGCAGATGTGTGTATTGTGACCAGCAGGGACACTGTGGAAGAACTGCACTGTGGTCCAGCACAGTATTATGGAAAGGACTGGTCACACAAAGGGCCTGACCAGAGCGCTGGATCCAGTTTTCACTGCCAGACTAAGCTGCTGTGCTATTCGTGGCCTTGCAGACCACTCTGGGCAAGGGTTTGGTCTTTTCTCAGCAGATGCTTCCTGCAGGACTTGCACAGAGAAAACAAATTTCCTTCTTCTCAGTTTTCAATGTGAGTTGAGCTCCAGCACCAGGCCTCTTGGAGGGGCTGGGCAGAGAAAATTGAAACACATTTGCATGAATTGCTCTTCCCACAGGGGCCAGGCAAGAAAAGGAGGCCTGGCACAGCTGAAGCCACTGTTGGGATCAGGGGGCTGCTTCCACCATGACCTGGACTCTTCTCCTCCTCTTGTTCCTCTCTCACTGCTCAGGTAAGAACAGGCCTTGCAGACAGGGGGCAATTTCACAACCTCATTAGATGTCCTCTGCTGTGATTCTACCCCAACTATAGAAGTCACTGGTCCCTGCTACACCATGGTCTGTATTTGCAGTTTCCCTGTCTCAGGCAGTGCTGACTCAGGAACCCTCCCTGTCTGCATCTCCTGGAGCATCTGCCAGACTTCCTTGCACCTTGAGAAGTGGCATCAGTGTTGGTGGTAAACGGATGGTCTGGTTCCAGCAGAAGCTAGGGAGCCCTCCCAGGTTTCTACTACACTACTACTCTGACTCAGATAAATACCAGGGTTCTGACATCCCCAGCCGCTTCTCTGGCTCCAAAGATTCCTCAGCCAATGCAGGAGTTTTGCATATTTCTGGGCTGCAGCCTGAGGATGAAGCCGACTACTACTGTGCCATCTGGCACAACAATGCTTCTCACAGTGACACCCATGCAAAGAGAAGTGGCACAAAAACCCCAGCATGCCCTGAGACATAGACTATGATACCTTTGAAATGTATCAATTCCTTCTATCTGCACTAACTATATTTGGAATTAGATGCAGTGGAACACCATGCCACTATTTGGTATTTTTTGCAAATACCAAAAATTATTGATAGACTCTCAGTAAAAGGAAATAACCTGTGGTGGCCTCTAAATTTTGTTTTATGCTACAGTGATTTTTAAAACAAAGTAAAAGGATATGGCAGTAGCATTTACTTCTTTAAAAAAAATAAAGCCAATCTTTTCTGGCTCTTCATGTCGGAGTGCATGGAGCAGCCCAGCAGCAAGGAGCTCTTCTGAGCATGGAGTCTGCCCTAACATATACCATGACCATCCTGCTTATAAAGAGGATAAGAACATGATAAATTCCATTCATCATCTGTGCACAAGTAATTCCTTCTTCATCTGTGAAATGGGCCAACAAGGCTTAGGGAACCAGCCAAAGACTGAGTGTGAGCGTCCAAGTGTTCAGGAGCAGAGGAGCCATCAGCACAGTGCAAACAGAGGAAGTGAAGTGGTGCACACTGGTCCAAGGTGAAGCCCTTTGCTGCTGACCCGAATGACTTGTTTAGAAACCCCTTCATAGCCAGTGTTGTTTTAGAAGATGTCTACATCCCAGATGGGATAACAGCAAACACTTTTCCTTCAGTTCTGACAGTCACTTCAGATCAGACACAGTTCTGTCCTAAAGTCATAATCTTCACTATGCCACACATTACAAGGGAAAGATTAAGATAGAGGTTGAGAGAGACCTGAAAGTACATGACACTTTCAACAGATGGAATGCACATCTCAAGTGACTCGTGTCTAATAAAAATTGACTGAATCGAGGTAAAGTGCTTGGCTAGCACCCACAAGGTCCAGTGTCTCATCCCCAGTGTTGAAGAAGAAACAGAAACAACTTATTAACAGTAATCTTGAACTTGAGTGTGAGACTAACTCGAGTTTATTTTTGTTGGAGGGAAGTAAACCATCCTCACTCAGAGTACGTTTCCTTCAACTTCCAGCCTGGGCAGTATCTTCAACTACTAAGATAAAGAATGAGTGAGACCCATTCGTGAACTCTACCTCTTACTGAAGAATGTGACTGGGTTTTCTGGCCTAAATCTCACTGCAGATCCCTAAAGCAGGCATTATTCTACACATATCTTATCACTTCTTTATCCTTAGCTGCTCAGAGTTGACTTTTATCCTCTTTAGTTCATGCAAAGAGGAACTAAAGTTCATTTGTTGCTTTGTAACTTCTTATCACCATGCACCACGCCCGCCTCAACCCTGAACTCCAGAGCCAATGTGTATTTGAATATATACTTATAATTGGTAATATTCTGTGCATATGTATTTTTATTTATATAAATTAATTCTAGGGGGCCTGGCCCTAGCTCAGTCCTTTAAGTGGCTGCTTCAACAAAGCTGTCAGCCTCAGGTTGCTGGAGTTCGAACCTCACAACTCTCCCGCTGGCCAAAAGTGCCCTGAAGGCATTCGAGGAACCAAAAAATAATTAATTAATTCATTCATTCATTCATTGTAAGGCACTTTCCCATTTTAATCTCTGGAATAAAAATTCATCTTGCAATCAATGATAGTTCATAGTTTTAAAAAAATTGACTGAATCCAAAATCTAAATCTAAATGCACTGAAAGGATGTATATGCCATTTGTCCTGAAAAAGTCTGGTGGACATTTAATAGACAAAACTAAAGAATAGAAATGTGATACCATCTCAGATCATTAACACCCGTGGACTGAATTTTTCACTCTTCAAATCCCTAGAAAAATGTTTCAAAGTCGTCCTGCCAAGCACTGGGAAAATGGCAAGTTGAATGAGGAGAGAGCATCCCCAGACACCACGACTGAAGTGCTCAGGTTCTGAAGTCCTGTGGTCCAGATTTTTAAACAACAGCCATAAGATACCGATGATAAAAAATGAGCAAATTTTAAGTGAAATAAATCAGACTCGCATCTGCAAACATCACATTGTCTTGCTAGTGCAAAACCCTGAAAGAGTAAATAAAATCCAAAAGCTATAGTAGATGCTAAGAAAGGCATAGATTCCCTTCAAAGAGAAGGAACAACTGTGATGAGGAAATGGACAAAAGAAAGAGGGAAGGGAATAAGATACATTTATGTAGGGATGGAAAATGGCTTGGAAAATTGTACTGCTGAATGTTGATGATCTTTTGAAAGGACTAGTTCTTACATTATTTTCTTCTCGTATTTAATTTCTTATAATATTTTTACCAAATTTGCATGCTTATATATGATTATCTAAACAACTGATTTGAAGTCAACATTATGTAATATAACAATCATTGTTGAAATCCTATTTTTAGTGAAGGTTTGTATTGTTTCTAATGTATTTTTAAGTATTTTTATGCTTTTCAAGATATAAAATATCAAACTCTGTGAACTTCAAGTAGGAAATATTTATCCTATAAAAATTTCAAAACAATGAAAGAGATAACTTGGAGAATCAGTTGAACTTCTCACTACTTCCTGTTCAACTATAATCTATTTTTATCTTTAAGATAGATGCAAGTTTTTTCATTTGTAACACTAATTTCTCTATGTCAACTCAAAAAAAATTTTGTTCTTTTGTTTTCCCCTTCCATGTAAGTCATAGTCTGTTTTGTCTATGACTTCTAGTCAGAGTTCCATTTTAGGCGATTTCCCAAGACTATGAAAGTGTCTCAACTGCTATTATTATTGAATCATTTTATCATGAAACAAACATTAAAAAATGAATTGAAAAGTCAGATACTACAGAAGAAGATACTTCACACAACTAGAGATTAAACTACAAGTAGTTATGAAAACACACTAGGGGGCACTCTGAGCCTTCTCAAGGATTAGCAAAGCCTAAACCAGACTCACAGAACTCACAGTTAATGACCTTGTTTGTGCTCTTTGAGTTAGAGGTTACAGCAGGTGCTTCCTCTCATGGGAAAAGGCAGAGCTCACAACACCCAGCCTCCCTGACAGCGGAGCAAGACCCTGAACTCCCAACCCTGCAACTGATGGTGCTGATGTTGTTGCTAAAAAAGAAAAATCATGTTTCTACAAGAAACAAAAAAAAATGGCAATAAGAATTAAGGGTCCAGGGCCGGGGAAATGGCTCATTGGAATAAGCGCTTCCCTGGAAAGGACAAGGGCCTGAGTTCAATCCCTGGTTCTGAAAAAAAAAAAAAAAAAAAAGAATTAAGGGTCCATAAAAGGATCATCCTCTTGGCAGCAACCACTGCAGCTGCACAGAAATACTTGGAAAGCCCATGTTATTGCCTACCGGTGTCTGCTCCTCCTTCCATCTCGCCTCACTCTCTGCCCACATTCGTGCAGATTTCACACATCTGCCTGGAGAGCAACTCTTCTGTCGGCCTTTCTCATCCCTGGTGTATGTTGATTTTTATTTTGGGGTCCGTTTCTTGGCCTATTGTGATCCTGAATCCTACAACAATCCTGTGTGTCAATCATTTTCATCTGTGGCTGCTGCTTTGCAGGAATCACTGTTGATCGTGTCCCATACTTGTTCCCGCAGAAGCAGGCCAAACATCCACAGAAATGGTTTCTGACACAGGCCCTAGGCAGTCCTAGTGACCTGTCAGCTCCTCAGGTTCCCTCTATGGCAATGTGGGCTTGACCCCTCTGCTGATCCAGACTCGGGATGCAGCTCAGTGCTATCCTTTGCTATACAGCAGTGCTGCACAACACAAGGAAAGCGGACAGGGAATTGACACATAAATCTAGGTCTGGCTCTGCCTGAGTACAAAGAGACCAGGTGCCTGGAGAGTGAACCATCTCACAGGATCCTGTTGACTGTCCATGAAGAGAAAGGTGTAGGAAAGTGTCTGGATTGGTTCTTCTTCATGTTTGAATCAGAAAGAGAAAGATATGCATGAATTGTTGCATAGGAAGAATTTTCTTCAGATACAGAATTCAGTTGCTTGACCCTACTAACATGAAATTGATTGTGGTTTAGATGGAAAGAGTGAAATCAACATATTTCCTGTATGTAGAAACATCTTTCGCAATGTTGTCTGTGTGATCTAATAGACAAGAAAAGCAACCAACCACCATTTAGGTGGGGATGCATTGGTTGCTCAGGTTCCATTTTAGTACAGAGTCATTGCATACCACTTTTGAAGTACTACAATCTATGAAAATTTGGAAAGAAACCACTTTTTCTAATGTTGTATGGTAAAAATGTCTCATTAGAAAAGTTACGATGAGATACCAATCTGGAATACTACATAATATGTTCTATTTAAAACATAGTGCCAGCTCACATAGGAGTAAAAGGAGTGGATATTAGAATATAGCAATTCATTTATTTATACATACTTCTTAAAAGTATTTTAAAGAGAAAAATGAAAAGTAAAAGCAAGAACAAAGACAAAAATAAAACAACAAAAAACAATAAAAATCATACACAATTTCAAGATAAGAATATGAAATTGATAGTGTTTGTTATGTTACTTACTGCTGTCATCAAATTTTTGGCTTAGATTGCCAGACCAGAGTAAAGAAATTAATACGTATGTTAGGAGTCTGCACAGCAGATGCTCTGAGACGATAGGGATGCAGAGAGAGAGAGCATCGTGTGAAAATGGGGGCACAGAGCAGGCTTGTTCTGTGTAGACCAAGGAGCACCAACATCTGTACACACCGAAGGCCCAGGAAGAGGGAAGGAAAGACTCTCCGGGATGAAGCACTAGGAACATAGCCCGCCTGTGGGTACTGGATGACTGGCCCCAGAACTGTGTGGGACGATGTATTTCTGTGGTTACTGCCCACCACGATTCTGATATTTTCTTATTGTAATCATAGGATAAGCCAAACACTCACTGTCATGATCACTTAATAACATGATTATTTTTCTTTTTGCAATATTAGAAGTAGGACGCAGGGTTATTCTACCACTGGCCCAGAGCTCAGTTCTTTGCATTTATTATTTTGAGACAGGGCCTCACTAAGTTACCCAAGTACTCCTCAAGCATTCAGTCTTTATCCTTCACCCTGCTCAGACGCTTCATTACAGTAAGTACCACCATGCTCCGCAGTATTGTGACATTGCTGCACTTTCATGGATTTCTTTAACATAATCCTCTAATATATCCATAATTACAATGACATTTCACTTCAATTTTAAAATTTTATGACCGATTATATAGAAAGTATTAAATGAAGAAATTTTCTGTTTTAGACTACACAACCATATACCTGCTTTAAGATTATTAACTCTTAAGTGTTATGCAAATTAACAATTATTTTTTTATTAATTTTTTATTATTATAATTTGTTAATACAGGTTCTTACCACACAGCTCAGACTCGTAGTGATCCTCCTGCCTCAGGTTCCCCAGCGCTGAGATCACTGGCATAATACACATGGTACCTGACATAAAACATGTAAAGTGTATATTCTAATCACTCTGTCGGGAATACATCCTGAGATTCTTTCTTTGCAGTTACTATCCCCCCTCATTCCTCTTTATGAACCTTTCTAATCCCTTCCTTTCCTGAATGTCCCAAGGGGGTGTCTTTGATTTTAACACGTATGACAATCTAAATTGCCAAATTGACCAGACTGGGAATATTCCCTGGCAGGCACGTATGCTGCCAAGCCATCTCCCTGGCGAATTCATTTTAGGAGTTATTTAAAAGCAGATTATCACCACACAGTTCCAGTCAGACAACACCAGCACTGGTGCACTCCCTATTATCCCAATCTCCTATCATAGGTCTTGGAGTTTAGAGGTATCACACTGAGGCAGAAGCACAACCTGAGATACAGCATAGACTAATCATGAAATAGATCCCTTCACTCGGCTAAAAGGTAAGTTGTAGCATCAGTCCAGTCACCATGGCATTTCCAGCATGGCCTAGAGGAGTCAAAGAGCCCTCAGTGAGGCAGAGATCAGGGTGTGGTGAGCCGGTGAGCAGGTCAGCGGGATCTGTCACCACAGAGCTGGGACACATGCACACAAAGTGCTATCAAATTCTCAGGAGAAGTCAAGCAGGTGTTTGATCAACGGGGTTTCCTGATGTCAGCTCCAGAAGTGGGAGACATGCAAGATGGCAGCCCTAGCTCCTGGCCACACTGGGCCTTCTCCTCCACAGGGGTCGCCCTCACCCTACAGAGTGAATACTTTTCTAACTTTTAATTGACCCACATTTGCTCTGCAGAGCAGATTTCTTTCCCTACCTTTAATAAATGTAAAACCTGGAGAAAAAAAAAAAAGAATGTTCCCTGGGGGCAGAGTAGTAAAGGCCACCTTTAGAGGAATCTGGGTGGGTCTAGGAGATGTGACCTGTGGACCAAACCTTGCTCCAGGCCCATCCTTTCTGGTGATCTCCGCTGTGCTCCCCTTCCAGCCACTGTGGAGTGAACAGCATTCCTCTCCTGTGCAGTGACAGTTCTGCCTTAAAGCAAGCTGCCCACGAGTTGGAAACTCTGAATCTTTGACTCAAAATAAAGCTCACCTTTATTTAACAAGCATTAGGTGTTATCTCCTAGTGATAGGAAACCTGACCACTATAGTAACCTTTCTGTTCATTTTCTTGAGTTATCCCTATTTCTAATGAATCCAGTGAACCACACAGTATTCTAATTTATCCTCCTAAATACTTACCTATATTATCATATGGGCCAAACTCTTCAGAAAACAAGGAGGAAGAAAAGATTAATAGCAGATGGGCTGGTATCAGGTGTAGCATGAGAGTAACGTTACTTTACAAACTCTGTTGAGATCTATTTTAACTGCTATTCCAAGTAGATGCTTCATAAGAGGCACACCTTGCTAGAGAAGTCTTGAAAGATTAGGCTGCTCCCAAAGACAAGGCTCAAGTAGAAAGCCAGTTCAAGACTAGGCAGGGTGCTGCCCTGAGCAGAGGCTTCACTCTGTCTGAGAGCACAGGCAGGAAGTAGCTAAGGTCATGGTCGGAGCAGGAGCCGTCAGTCTTCTGCTCACAGACAAAATGGACTTGAACCAGCCCATCGGGAAACACTGTATTCCTGCTTCTGTGGATCTGTGGGGATCTCAAATAGGAAAACACACACTTGCATCCTGGTCTTGACAGAGGATCCTTTGGGCCACCTGCTGAGTTCTCGCAGTGTCCCATAAATTTCAGTCCAAGCTCAATGTAGCTTCTGCCTCCCTCCCAGAAACAACACACAGGCAGTGGTAGTCAATAGGCCTAGGGTAAGAAAAACTAATTTGCATACAGAGAACTCTGTCTCCTCTTGGGACTGAGGGTGTATAAGAGAGTCCTGCAGTGCACATGCTTCAGCACATCTCTGTGTCTGCACCATGGCCTTGACCCCACTCGTCCTCCTTGTCATCCTTCACTGTAGAGGTCAGAACAGTATATCAATTCTTCATCTTATTGAATCTGTCTTTCAGACTCATTCTTATAGTATTCTCTTCTCATCTCCTTTCTCCGTGACATAATGCACTTCTGTATTTTCAGGGTCTCTGTCTCAGCTTGTGCTGACTCAGTCACCCTCTGCATCTGCCTCCCTCGGGGCCTCAGCCAAGCTCACCTGCTCCCTGAACAGCGAATACAAAACCTATGGCATTGCATGGTTCCAGCAGTACCCAGGGAAGGCTCCTCAGTATGTGATGTGGGTTAGGAGTGATGGTACCTTCAATAAGGGGAATGGAATTCCTGACCGCTTCTCGGGCTCCAGCTCTGGGACTGACCGCTACTTGACCATCTCCAACATCAGTCCTGCGGATGAAGCCGACTACATCTGTGGTTCAGATTACAGCATTGGTGGGTCATATGGTTAAGCACAGTGAAGCAGAAGAATGGGGAAGTGGGATAAAAACTATTTTCTCTATCTAATGCACCTACCACATAGCACTGAGAAATAATGTGTGATGTGTGTGATACCCAGAATATTCAACATTTCTGTATTCTGTAGTCTGCTCTTCCAAGAGCTATTAGGAGCTAGATTACTAGGTCAGGAAGCTGCAGTGATCATATATCTGTAGTGATGATGCAAACACTGCAACAAATCTTGTTTCCCTTGCTCAGTCTCCTACCTTGTCAGCATGGGAGGGCCCAGCACATTCTTCGCAAACAGGACTTCACTAAGTACATACTCACAAGTGCTGACATCAAAGTTCATTTGACTTTCTACCCCTATAAGCTGATTTCTCACAAATATAATTTTATAATTTCATCAACATTGAAAGACTAAAAATATGACTTAATATTGAGATGTTCAAATTTATATATAATCCAAGGAAGATTCTTCACTTTTCTGACATAGTCAGTGCCTGTGTTTTGGGAGGGAAGGACAAGAAAACAATTACCTTCACCACACTGAAGATGACAGCAGATAAAAAATTTGCTTTCCAGGAGTGTGTGGAAAAGCTTCCAGCTACCCTGCGCCAGCAGGACCCACTACTGGTCCCATCCCAGTCGCAGCGTGGGTGAGACCTCCTTCCACCCACTTGGGACGCCCCCCCACCACTCCGCAGCACCTGCCCCACCCCACCCGCTGAGTAGGAATTTCTGCCACTATTCGGGAACCCCCAGACCCAGTCCTAGCCCAGACCCAGTGAGTGTGTGGGAAAGCTGCCTCTCCCCCTACTTCACCTTGTCCCCTCCAGGCTCAGCTCAGGCCTGGCATACATGCCTGGGGTGTAACCCTGCAGCTGCAATCCCTGCAGAGAGTGTAGAGGATACAACCACCCAGCTAGTCCAGGAGCAGAAAATCGTGCCAGAGGGGCACAACAGGTTCACCCCCAAGGGCAGCAGCAGGAAGGAGTTGAGCACAGCAGCCAGACCCAAGCCACGTACAGCTGGATAAATCCAAGCATTGTAGATCGGCACCTGAACTTCAGTACATGCTAAGGTTATAACTACAATGAAGATCTACAACAAAGGTCAGAAGACAGTGTTACACAAAATGATGAGAAGAAACAAAACGCAACATCAGAAACCAGCCCACCCATAACAAGTGCAGAAGACACTTACACAGAACAAATTGGGAATCACACAGCTGAAAAGCAATATATCAATGGCTTCTGAAATAAAGAAAAAGCTGCAGAAAGGTATAGAGGAACTCAGATCAAAATTAAAAAAACAAATCCCTGAATTAATAGCATCTACAATAAAGAATCAAATGCAGAAACATATGGAGGAAACCCAATGCCCACCCAGAACAAGTGCAGAGGACACTAGCTCAGCTCAAATGCATGAATTAAGAGCATCGATAGTAATTAAGAAACAGCAGAAAGTTATAGAGGAACTCATAGCACAATTCTTTCCTGAAATAAAAAAAAGAATTCTCAGAACTCATAGCATCTGAAGTAAAGAAGCAACTACAGAAACATAGGGAGGAAACCCAGTCTGAAAAAAACACTGCAGTAAAAGTGCAATGATAAAAAAAAAGGATGGCATTGATAAGGAAGACATTGATAAGAAAAAATAGAGGAGAAGGAAGACATTGATTAAAAAAAATAGAGTAGATTAGAAAAATGATGGATTCCTTGAATGAGCAATACAGGAAAGAAATAGATCGCATGAAGCAGAGTCAAAGAGATATACAGGAAATTAAAATCTCAATCAAAAGCTTGCAAAACCGTTTCAGTGAAAGTGAAGACACAGTTTCAGATCTTGAAGAAGCTGGTGCAGCTAGTAAAAAGGTAAGAAATGATCTCTTAAAAACAACGAGGATGCAGGAAATAATAATCCATCACCTGCAAGATGATGCAAAGATGAACAATGTGAGACTAATAGGCATCAGTGAAAAGAGGAAGTCAATACAAACGACATCAAAAAAATATGGACAGAAGTAGTAGCAGAAAACTTCCCAAATATGAGGAAACAATCTGACATTCAGGTAACCAAAGCATACAGAACGCCAAGGAACCTCAACTCAATGAAAAACACACCAAGACATGTAATAGTCAAGATCCTAGAAAATTTGCACAAGAATAATTTACTGAAAGCCACTAGAGAAAAGAAGCAGATCACATTCAAAGGAAAACCCATCAGAATTATGGCCGACTTCTCTTCACAAACCACGAAGGCAAGAAGAGCATGGAGCAGAGAACTTCAAGCCCTCTATGAAAACAAATTCCAGCCCAGACTACTATACCCTGCAAAACTCTCTTTCAAGTTTGATGGAGAAGTGAAGTACTTTCATGACAAAGAACAGCTAAAGAATTTCATGATGACAAAGCCAATCATACACAGGCTACTGAAAGATGTTCTAGAGAGGGATGAAAATGATCAGAACTCCGTGAATGAGATCAGAAGCCACCAACTAAATAGAGCAAGCAATTAAACACAGGAGAAAAAGGAATAAACGACAACAGATAAATAACATGGCAACCGTAAATCAATACATCTCAATTCTCACCATCAATGTAAATGGACTCAATTCACCAATTAAGAGAAATAGACTGGCACAGTGGATTAGGAAACAAAATCCAACAATATGCTGTATACAAGGAACAC